GCCTCCAACCCACCCCCAGCCCCTCAAGCACCAACCTCTCCCTCTCCTCCCACGTCTCCCCGCCGCGCTCCAGATCGATCACCTGCCCCCCGCTCGTCCGCTCCCTCACCCCGCTCGAGTCGAACTTCCACCCGTGCGCCTTCTTCGCGTACCGCCGCAGATCCCGCTCGAAGGTCGTATCGCCCGACCAGCCCAGCACGGCGCACCCGACCGTCCGCCACGGCGAGATGATGATATCGACCCGGCGGTGGATATTGGGGTTGCGTTTTCTGCGGCGGCGCTGTTGTTCCTCTGGGGTGGTGTCATTGTCGTTGTCGTCGTCGTCGTCGAAATGCGGATCCTGCCAGACGACGAGGGCTTTATCGAGAGTGTCAAAGTGTCTGCCCGCGTCGTCGCCGCGGAAGGGGAGCGGCTGCTGGTCGCGGTGGGAGGTGGTCATGTGCAGGGCGAGGGTGTGGGTGATCCAGCCGTCTGCCTCGAGGCTGGCGACGAGGTCGACGACAAGGTTCTTGGTGACGGACTCGTCGCGGTGCGAGAGGACGAGGTCCACGTCGCCGCTGAGCTCCTTGCCGCGCCGGTAGCCGCCGACGATGACGCATTCGACGCCGCGGCCGTCGTAGTTCGCGTGCGGGCGGACGCGGTTCGCGTGCCGGTGGATGGTCGCGGCGATGGCCTCGGTCTCGGCGCGGGGGACGCCCTGCAGGAACTCGTCGTAGTATTTCAGGCCGATCTGCTGCACGCGCGAGAGGCTGTCCCAGCCGTGCTCGATGATGTCGTCCAGGTCGCGCCATTGGCGCTTGTAGTAGAAGTCGCGGGCGGTTTTGGCGCCGACGCCCCAGATGTTCCAGAAGAGGTGGAGGGTTTTGAGGACCGGGTCGGTGTCGAGGGCGGCGGCGGCGGCCAGCGTGCCGTGCTCGCTGGCTTGGAACTCCGCGAAGAGGGTGGCGATCTTGGCTTCGCAGCCGGGGAGGGTGAGGATCTCCGAGGGCCGCCGGATCTGGTATGGGTATGCGGCGAGTGCGGCGATGGAGGTGCTGTAGGCGCGGACCCCGATCTCGTCGAGCGTGAGCTCGCGGACCTTGCGGATCTTGACGAGCTGTGAGATGAACGCCTCGTTGGGCGGGTGGAGCGGTGCCGAACGCATGCAGGCGTACATGACGTGGTTCTTGACCCAGTCCGGGGGTGGAGGCAGGGGAACCGCTTCGTCGTGCTCGGATGTCGTTTGTCGGTATAGCTTGGGCGGGTGGCCCTGGCTTGATGGCCCGTCATGCGGTTCTCGTGAGCGACGCGCTGCGAACCGACTGGTAGGAGGTCCAGCCGGCGGCCTGACCATGGCATCTTGCTTCGCGCGCTCCAGGATCCCTTTCGTCTTGTCCGCGCTTGCTTCAGGTGCAGGGTGTGTAGTCTTGCGGCCTCGGTAGACCACAAACGGGTCCATGGGCACAAGCGTGCGAGTCCTCAGAACTTCGCTGAGCCAGTCCAGCTTGACCACTGTGACCACATCCGCCTGCTCATGATCCTCCAAAGAAGTGGCCACCGAAGACGTCAGCGACGGGGTTGAGGCCAGAGACAACCTATCCGGAGATATCGACCTCGGCCGCCGCAGATGCCGCCGCGTATCATGCCGGCTTCGCATCCCATCTTCTTCATCTTCTGTCTCTGTACCGAGGTCAATATCCTCTAGCTGCGCGGCAGGCTGTTTAGCCGGCTGAACCACATCGACCCGCCGCCTCTTCACCGGCGGCTCAGGGCTTGTCCGCAGAGGAGCGGAGGTCTCCTCCGTCCAGACACCTCGAGACCGCAGCTCCAAGGCAGCTCGCTTCTTCTGGCCGATCCTACCAAGAACGAGTCGTGCTTCGGAAACGTCGTACGTCAAGCGCGCGCCACGCTCCACGAGGTCCTCTTCGATTTGGTGCAGAGCGTCCAAATCGAGATGTGTCGCGAGGACGAAGATAGGCGGCAAGGATGAAAAGTCGAGCCCATCAGGGCTCTCGTTCAGGTCATGTTTCAACGAGGAAGATGTCGTGATATCGGACATGGCGCGGGATGGATATCCATTGCTTTTGTTGTATCTGGCAATGAGACGCGATCACTCGATCGTGTCGACTGGCTGACAGTATATAGTAAACAAAAATACTGTAGTATGTACTGCATATATTCTCAAGTTATAAGGAAATATCTCGTGATGGCATGGCAGCGTTGGTGGGGTATCTCATATGTGCTGCGTGCATGGCGTCGCGACTTCAGTCTGAGACGGACTCCACTATCTGTTGATGTTGATACTCATATGGAGTTTAACGCTGTACAATCAGATAGCACTTCTGAGTCACCTGGTGGTCAAGACTTCTCCGTTATGATCGCAATCTGGTGATGATGAAGAAGCGAGTCTTCTCTCCGTGTTTGGCCAAATCAGCTGACGTCACCCTTATGCCTCAGGCACATGTGTACATTTACCTGATCTACTCGAGCTGAATCAGTTTCACAGATCATCAAACAGAGACTGTTATTGTTCTAACCTGATCCAGGCGCTGTGTAATCATGATACTATATTATTAGTTCGAGCTATGACTCCAGTGTTACGAAGCCGGTCCATCAACCGGCTGCTCCACCACCTGCGATGTCGCGCCTTTGCCTACAGCCCCGTAACTAATGGTAGAGGTATTGCTCTCCTCATTCAGAACGGCCCTTTCGCCGTCAGCCGGAGGCAGCTCCTCCCGAGAACCTTCTTCATCCGCCCCAGCGCTCTTCCCATGGCGTTTCGCGATCCACCTCCGCCAGGGCTTGTAGAGCACCACGCTAAGACCACCAAAGATGAGAAAGCATCCGCAGATTCCTCCGCCAATGACGTCGTAGTAGTCCCCTGCTGTCTGCACGCCGTCCCAGAATCTACCTGTGGGCTCGGCGACGTTCAGAACAAGGGTGAGGAGCTGGATGACACCGATGACGATGGCGACGACGACTGTCAGGAGAGTGAGCACGATGGAGTAGTACAGGAAGGCGACGGGGTCGCGGTGGTTCTGGGACGGTTGAATCTCGTGGTCCTCGCCGATGATCAGGGGCGTCTCGGACGAGGTGCTGTCGCGTTTGGGAGGGAGGAAGTTGGCGGCGGGTTGGATGTAGAGCGAGAGCATCAGGGCTCCGTCGGTTGTGTCCAGAAGACACATTCCAGCTACGGTAGTTAGAAACGATTCCTCGTGATAGTTAAGCAGACGTACCGGTGAAAAGAATGGGAAAGATCAGAATGACCCAAAAGTCCGTCCCGCGAGCGGCCTCTACCGACGAGATTCCAAGCAGGGCTATCTCGGAGGAGGTGTCGAACCCAAGACCGAAGAGGACACCTAATGGGTACATCTTCCAAGGACTATATCACCGGATCAGTATTGTTTTGTACACCTGATGAGGTATCACACACCGATTGATCAATTTGAACATGCGTTTGAGCACATTGAACAACACGCCCCCACCCTCAATCTTCCACGCCTCATCCTCCTGCCCTTCAGGCAGATTTAACACCTTCTGCATCTGCTTGTAGAGCTTGTACAGAATGTAGAAATTCATCAGTCCCAGCAGGATCAGGAACGCGGCGCTGACCGAGGTCCCGATGATCCCGCCGACGGTGCTGAAGCTGTCGAAGCGCGACGACACCGCCGCAGCGGTAGCCGCTACGACGATGGAGGTGATGATGACAATGCTGGTACAGTCAGAGCAAGCCTTGACCTGGCAGATGGAACAAGACCTACGTTGAGTGCCCTAGGGAAAAGAATGTTCCAACGGTGACGGGCTGCTGGCCGGTTGCCAGTAATCTTCGGGTCATCAAGTCAATCGCCTGGAAACGTTAGTTAGCCAGCGAGTTGCGGGCTGTTTCTGGTCTTACCGATATATGGTCGGCGTCAAACGCATGGCGCAGCCCCAATGTATAAGCCAGGACCGCATTCGAGACTAGTGAGCTGTGCATCGTCAGTATCCAGGCACTTGGTCTCGTCATGAGACTTACGGATAGTATCTCTACACAATGTCAGCTAGTCATCCTCCATCAGCTAGGGGAATGAGGTCAACAGGTCAACATACCAACACAATGGCAGCAGCAATCCACACAATAATGTTCATGAACGCAACGAACAGGATGATTGCAATCGCCGGCAGAGGAATCTTGCGGATCCCCGGCAGCCGACTATGCGAGCGCTCGGCTCGACGAAGAAGTGATTTGGCAGTCCATTTGCTCTTTGTTTCGCTGGCCGTGTCGTCTGCGAGGGAAGAGTCGACGATGGTAGTAGAGTCCCGCATTATGTATCTTCAATATATAGACCTAGTATTGTCCGTATTGTTTCTGCCAGGATATCTCAGTATACCATCAAATCCCCAATATCCCCTGAGAGTAGTGTGAGGAAAGGCGAAATCTGAACAGTAATGACGATTCGCAGTGCAATGGAGGGGAAATGATAAGAGAGCGATAAGGATTGAGGGGTCGTCGTGTTTTCACTACTCCTGGCGTCTGTCCCTCCACCTTTTCTGCTGCAGAGTGCAGATCAATCGGCAGAAGTCTTTGCTTCGTTGTCTGCGAGATCTTGCTGGCAAGGTCCTCGATGATGATGCGCGGGTGATTCGACTCCTGCTTTATCTGTACTCCTGGTGGCCGTCAACTGGTCAGTTCCCTCCACTTTATCGGCGAATGCGAGCTTTGAGGACGAAATTTTCTCGTCGAGTGACTAATTCCTCCCGAAGCCAAGTATATTTATCTACTGACTATGTAGATAGTGACTACTAGTCCTTGATTTGTTTAAGCGATGCAGGTTGGCCGGAATCCACCGCGACACCGACACCCCACTGATGATTCTCGGCAAACTGAACAGACTCGGAGAGCGCCGATGTGGTTGTTCGACTCCTACATGTAAATGAATGGTAGCTCACTCGCTGGTGGACAGTATCAATATAAACATATCGTCTTATCATTATGATTCGCTCCTATATACAATTTTGGCGTCTTGACATAAGATATTGATATACACGTCTGACTCCATCTCTTGGGTCTAGACCAGCTTCATAACATTGACAGTCAGGCGTTCTGGCCTGTGGCAGAATGATTTGATTCCACCCATTGACATGTCAATGTGATTGTGGCTGGGGTTTCCTCCACTCCAGTTGAGTGCATGATGAACTCTATTAGCCACAGCAGGCTATAGATCATTCATGACTGCTTGGCCGGTTTGCCGAGCTGATGAGCGCTCTGGCGGTCGGTAGGATGGGGATCGATGAGCTTGGTGGATGCCATCCCCGAGCTGTCCGGTCCCTGCGTCTGCAGGCTAGCTACGGAGTCACGCGTTGGAGGTATAAGAACTGAACATCTGAGTTCTGACTGCTCACGCAGCAGCAAGCACAGTTGGCGACGGCGTCCACTTGGTCACAGTCGGGTTGACCTGACGGATTCCGGAGCTGACAAACATGTTCCACTCGCTCCGGGTGATGGGTGTAACATCGGAGGCCGAGAGAGGCGTCTTGGGCCCCTTCTTCGCCGAGGCCGGTCTGCAGCTCGGCGGCGTAGGCTGTCTGCGCGGACGGACGGGGCGGATCGGCGATTTCCGCGAATACTCGGGCTTGGGCCGCGGCGGCAGGACGATGCCCTCCTGGCCGTATTCTTTCTTGTAGGCGTTTGCCACGCGCGTCAGGAGGTCATCGCGCACATCGAGCTGCTCGTACACGCGGTGGAAGAACGCCTTGCTAAAGGGGCGGCCCTGGAAGTCGCGGATGGTGCGGTGGAGGAGATGCACGCAGGAGGCGATGTAGGGCTCTTCGGTGCCGTTGTCGCGGTTCGACAGGATGCAGAGGCGGCGCTTGAAGGTGTAGATGCGGTCGACGTTGAGGAGGGTCAGGCCCTCGCGGCTGAAGACGACTTCGTTCTGCAGGATGGACTGCTGGATCAGGTATTCGTTGGCCTGGCGCTCGTACTGGCTGCGCGTCAGGGCGTCGGTCCAGCTCTGGCCTAGGGAGAATTTCTTGGCTCCCTTGGCGACGATGCGGCACACCGTGCGCCAGGACTGAGGGTCGAGTTGTGCGATGGGGATGACCATGAGATCGGACGCGTGCCCTGTGGGGTAGCGCTTTCCCCGGCCGACGAGCAGTGTGACGTGCATCATTTTTTGTTGGAGCTTGGAAGAGATGTAGTCCAGAGCAGGGATGATGGAAGGGGTGACCGTTTCGCAATCGAAATTGAAGCCGGGAGACAGAGGCGAGGAGATCATATCGGTAGTGAGGTTGCGGGAGGGAGAGTTGGGGACATAGATGCCCGTTGGGCGAGGCAAACGAAGAACACCCATGATGATAGCACTTCAATCAGGCTTTCTTGTTCTAAAGGCTGAGAAGGGAATCTTCTCCGTCAGAACCAGAGACAGAGGCCGAGGACGAGGACTCAGAGACAATAAATGCCCCAGAGCAAAAGAGGGGAATGACACCATCACAATGACCACGAACAACAACATCCCAAATTAACACTGCATTCGTCCCGCAAAAGATCTATTTTGGTACTTCTATTGATAGCAAAATAATCCATCCCCCTCATCCTTTCACATTCCCAACACAAGGGAACCCAATAACGCTGCGGATATAAATACCCTTAAGCGCCGACCATTTCCCTCCGCCAATGGAAGAGCCATCACATCAGCCCTCATGCAGGTGACGGCACAAAAAGACCATCAACCGCACATCCATCGCATAATGGACGGTGACGCAAGCTCGAAATGCTCTTCCTGCCCCTGTTGTGGAAATTAACCGCATTTCCTCTGCTGGTCGTTCCAACCCGGAGCAGTGCAGTCAGCCTGAGGCTCAAGCAACACCCACGCTGTTCCTTCATTGGTGATATCACCGTTACCAACGCAGAGTTATCTGCGGGGTTGCAAGCCTGACGAGCAGCTGCAGGAAACTATTGATTTCGAGCGGTAGAGGTCTTGCTCTGAGAGGGGGATGGCCGCTGGCGTACGCCATCGTTGGTGAGTGCATGTCCATGTGGCAGTTTGTTGACGGAGAGTGCTTCTCTGCTTGTGGATTACCGCCTTCAACGGGACTATTGGTCTGTGCAGGTGGCTTCATTTGGGATGTGTTGGGTTGGGTTGCTGGATGGGGATGGGGATGGGGATGTAAAGCCCGGTTGATGATTATTTATAGGGTGCGATCGCGAGTCATTCAGTGTCTGTACACTGGCAACTCGTGGGACAGATGAGATCGCTATGTTGGTGCTGCATCAACTTATAGTCTTATCTACCTCTACCATGAAGTTTTCTCGAAGTTTTGTATGGTCGAATTCAACTGTACCGTAGCCTTGTAGCACACAGATACTCCATAAGCATACACAATAACAAACGACAAATCATGATGAATCTCTACAGCAGCTTTTTTGCCTTGGATGGAGTCTACTTTTAATAGAGATGTGTGAACGGGATGGTGATCTAAATAGGAATTGCCTTGAACCTGGTATCGGTTCAGAAATATCATGGGTTCACCATCTGCTGTACGCTATACCTGTCCAGCGTGTTGTCTGTAAGCATCAGTCAATGTTTCCGCATCCTGTCAGTTCGGCCATAAGGCATACGCCTTTGCACCGAAGCTCAGCCGAGCGCAGTTCAATAGCAGAATTTTCTCCTGCTGTCAGCCACACGCGGCACTCTGGCGGCCTGACCAGGGTTGTATCAGGTACAACCATCGAGTACCACGGACAGCCAAGCCACAGTTCTCTCACGGAGGGCTCGGACGATGAGAAAAAATTTTCGAGCTTGGACGGGCTGACGGCCATCCCGTCCAGGACTCAGTCTCCAGGGGGCAGGTACTCCGTACGTATTAATCATTTCGATATCCAACAGTCAAGATAAGATTCCCCGCTTCAAGAGTCTGGGGAATTCTCATTACCTAAAAAGTCGGCATTGAGTGATATTGCATTACGTACGGAATTGCTGGGCTGTATCCACTGTCCCTGTGCAGCGTGCACTGTCCGCAGTCTAGGCGAGACGTTGGATTATGAGATGATTGTCGGGACAAGAGACTGGATAACCTCTTGAATTCACCGCGGATACGCCGATAGGTGCTTGGACTCGAAGGATCAGAAGTCCGAGACATGAGGAGGAGAGTTTCTGGGCAGAGTTCATATATACGCTTAAGCCATTGAGAACATTCCGCTCTCTGCCAAGGGTGCCGAGCCGTGGTTGACACGGTACCGAAGGTACTACGGAGTAAGTAGTCTTCTAGAATATGGATCGAGTATGTGGCTCTGCTGAGGATGTGCCGCGGATGAAAGATTTCATGCTCTGAATTAATAATAATCGAGCAGTGAGCCCTACCTTAGGTAGCAGTAGCAGTAGGTAAGCACGAACAGGCTAACAGCTGCGATAAGGTTGAGTAAATGAGGGTGTCTGATTGGAGGAAAATGGCAGACAGATAACCCCCGATAAACAGTCTTGGCACTGGCTGTCTGCCTTAGCCTTAAGGTATCCAGCCATGGAGTCAGAAAAGCTGAGCTTGGAGTATGTCGGGGAGACTGATAGATGCAATAACCTCGGTCGAGATCCCGTAGTCTACTCCTCCGTACTGAACGACTACTGTTGGAAGCCTCAGCTTAAAGTTCTTTCCTGGTCATTCACTGAGACACCGACTTAACCTCATTCTCTAAAATCCCGCAAAAGCTTAGGCGAACTCATTTATCACGTGGCTTATCGCTGGCTTATCACTGTCATAAAGCCAAGGCCGCCAAGGGTGGGCCTCAGCCAAGCGGGGCTTGTTTCCATGTTCGCTTTGCTTCGGCTTTTGGCATCTGAGGACTCGAGGAGATATTGACACTGTACACACAGAGCACAGAGGAGATTTTACCTCTCGATCCTTGATCAAGTACTGATTGTTGGACAGTTATCGTATGACTCTGTCTCTGTTCTCTCGACGAATCTCTGCTTAAGTGATATTCCTTATAATCCTATGTCCGAGTGCAGCTGGCAATGTAACCTCAGAACGCCTCAACGGAATCAGCGGACGGTGATAGTTGGCGATTCGAAAGATCTCTTGACTAATACGAACTGAATAAGCTTGAGTCTAATCAAATGAATGCACCCCAGTGACAATGAGCTTGGATCTAAGTGCGCCTCGTGTCTGGGCGCTCTGCCAAGCCAGTCCGCTTGTCCCTGGGTTTGCTGACGGGTCTTTTTCTGCCCCAAGAGGCGCAGACAAGACCAGAGAACCAGACAGGAAACCGACAAGATCGACAATCCTGGCCTTTTCTTCTCGTTGCTGATTGGATTGGGTGGCAATTATTATGCTGATGTTGCACACGGCAGCATGGCTATCATCGCCTGTGAGGGGATTCTCCACGCGAGTGTCGGTAACTAGTATCCAGGTCATTACCTTGGAGCATTGTCTGATTCAAGACATATTGACCTATCGTCTATCATTCTCATCCTGTCATATAATATGATATATAATCAATAATTGGTCCCTGTTGTCGCTTATCTTTCTGGGGTTGCTTCCAGAAGTCGAGGACGAGATCTTTCTGGATAGTACTAGTCGTTAGCAGTCCTTGATTCACCTGCCACTTTCCCCTTTCCTCTTTTCCTCTCCTCTTTTCTCCTCTCCATCTCCATCTTCATCTTTCTCTTCTTCTCCTTCTTTCTCCTTTCCTCCATCATCATCGCATTCACTTGTGTTCTTTCTTCCCCACGATCTCTCATCTCTGGGGGAAACAGTGAACTCCACCCCACTACAGTTCATCACCCTCGAGCTCACCAATCCAACCCACACGGGGATGGGGTACAGAGATGAAGGCGTCTCATCGGAGATGCCTGTCAAGCACGAAATGTCCAACGATGTCAAAACTGCTGAGGAGGGTGTGATGGAGTCACAACCCCACGTCGACCTTCATCGCGGTCTCAAGTCGCGTCACATCACCATGATTGGTACGCCACCTGGTGCTACCTGTACATGATCTGCATCCAAACTGACCTTGACAGCCATTGGTGGTGCTATTGGTACTGGTCTCATCATCGGAACTGGAGGTGCTCTTGCAAAGTAAGTTTCCTCGCAAATGATTTTGGCTTGACTTGAGCTGACATGACTCCTCAGGGCTGGCGTATGTTGTCCTGATATGCGCAAAATCTGCAACAACTAACTAACCCTCACAGCCCGGTTCTATTCTCATCTCGTACTCATTCGTCGGTTTCATCGTCTATCTGGTCATGTGTGGACTTGGAGAAATGGCCACCTGGTTGCCCATGCCCTCCGGTTTCACTGGTTATGCTGCCCGTTTCTGTGACCCTGCTCTTGGATTCGCCATTGGTTGGACGTATGTCAATCTATCACTTATTTGCCGTCCATGACCGTTGCGCTGACACACCTACCACCACAGTTACTGGTTTAAGTATATCATCGTCACACCGAACCAGTTAACGGCCGGCGCGCTGGTCATATCATTCTGGATCGACACCGAACGTGTCAATGCAGGCGTGTGGATCACCGTCTTCCTGGTGCTGATCGTCTCCATCAACTACTTTGGTGTCCGGTTCTTTGGTGAATTCGAGTTCTGGTTGTCTTCCTTCAAAGTGATCGTCATTATCGGGCTGATCCTGCTCTCCTTCATTCTGATGCTGGGAGGCGGCCCCGATCACGACCGCAAGGGCTTCCGGTACTGGAAGAACCCCGGTGCGTTCAACTGGTACATCGAGGACTCGGCCGCGGGCCGTTTCTATGCCTTCTGGGCGACCATGGTCTCGGCCACGTTCGCGTACCTGGGTACCGAACTGGTCGGCGTGACCGTCGGCGAAGCCGAGAACCCGCGCAAGACGATTCCGCGTGCCATCAAGCTCACCTTCTACCGGATCCTCTTCTTCTACGTGCTCAGCGTCCTGCTCGTCGGCACCCTGGTCCCCTACAACTCCGACCGACTGCTCTCCGCGACCAAGAAATCCAGCTCCGCGGCTGCCTCACCCTTCGTCGTCGCCATCGAGCTGGCCGGCATCCCCGTCCTCCCCCACATCCTCAACGCCTGCATCCTCCTCTTCGTCTTCTCCGCCGCCAACTCGGACCTCTACATCGCCACCCGCACCATCTACGGTCTCGCGCGCGAGGGCAAAGCCCCCGCCATCTTCGCCCGCACCGACCGCCGCGGCGTCCCTATCTACGCCCTCACCATCTCCGCCTGCTTCGCCTGCCTCGCCTACATGAACGTCTCCAGCGACTCCCAGACCGTCTTCAAGTACTTCGTGGATCTGGTCACCATCTTTGGCCTCCTCACGTGGGTCTCCCTGCTCGTCACCCACATCTACTTCGTGCGCGCCCGCAAAGCCCAGCACGTCCCCGACACCGACCTCGTATACAAGGCCCCCTTCGGCGCCGCAGGCTCCTACTTCGCCCTCGCCTTCTGCTGCCTCATCTCCCTCACAAAGAGCTACGACGTCTTCACCCACAACAAGAAGTGGGGCAATTTCAACTACAAGAGCTTCATCACCGCTTACCTCGGCATCCCCGTCTACCTGTGTCTCATCTTCGGGTACAAGCTCGTCACCCGCTGCAAGGGCGTCAAGCCCGAGGAGGCGGATCTGTGGTCGGGCAAGGAGGAGATCGACCGCGAGGAGGCGGAGTACCTGGCTCGCAAGGCGATGGAGGAATCAACCCACAAGCGGGGGAACTGGTTCTACGAGACTTTTGTGGCGTGGTTGTTCTAGACCCTGGTCATGGTATCTACTATTTATTTTTGCGAATATGCGTCTTGGATGTGACACGAGCTGGGGCGGTCCTGCCTCGCGATGTTATTATGAAATCATGAGTCGTCGACATGTACATAACACAACAATCAATGAATTACATGGATCTGTTATTTCAGTGTAGCAGGGGTAGTGAACGGGCTTTTGTGTGTTCCATGACAAGTACACTATAAATCATGATTCATTACTGCCGTCCGTCCATAACGGCAATGCGAGGGATAACTATACGTGAAGCAGGACTTTACACAGCAGAAACAGATAGTAGAAAGAAGACTATCGCCGTCGAAACTCCCATCGCGCTTCCTCGACCCACTCCGTCTCCTCATCTTCGGAATCCGCGTGCAGGACTTGCTGCGTGGCTGACGCTGGCTCTGCGCCTTGGGATACCGGAGCGGCACGCTCCGTGCGCTGCAGTTCGGCGTCCCAGTCCAGACCCACGCCCTGTGCGAGATCGCCGAGGAGGAACTTGCCGAACGTCAGAACGACATTGTAGATCTCCCGACCGGTAGGCACGATGTACTCTGACGGCAGGAGGAAGCCGTAGCTCCCGCGGTCGCGCAGTTTGATCTGGTAGGCGTAGTTTGTGTGCAGCTGGTGGTAGAACCAGTCCAGGGCGCTGCCGCCTGAGCTGCCGCCGGTGGGGAAGGCGGATTTCCCTTTCCCGGGGGGGCTCCGGTGGTCCGTGGGGACGGTCCCTTCGCAGGCGGAGGTGACGTCGTAGATTTCGTGGGTGGTCAGGCGGATGACCTTTGCGAGGCCCATGCCTAGCTCTTCGAGGCTCTCCAGCGTGGGCGGGATGGAAGAGCAGGAAAAGGAGAAAGGGTAGAGGATCTGCTGGGAGTAGGAGTGGAGGTCGAGGAAGCCGACGATCTGGGCGTTGTTGGCGTGCGTCTCGTTGAGCGCCCACTGCGCCAGTTGGTGGGCTTCCGTGCCTTCGAACGGCTCGTTGCCCGCGTAGTTCTCGGAGCACGGGTTCGGCCGGGTGCGCTCCCCGTCCCATTCGAACTCCCAGGCGCGGTCGAGGTCGATGCCGGGACAGAAATGCAGGCTCGTGTGCTGGCGGTTCTTGCGCCATAGGCGATCTGATTCCCAGGTGTAGACGTAGCCGTCCGGGTTCAGCGTCGGCACAAAGACCCAGTCGTAGTCCTCCAGGAGGCGGGTAACTTCCTGCGATTTGCCGTATCTGTTGATGAGACTGTATGCGACATAGGTGACGGTCGAGGTACTGATCCATTCTCGCGCATGACTGCCACCGACGACAAGGATGGTCTTGCGAGGGCTGGAGTCGGCGGTCGTACCGCGGGTCCCTAGTCGAAGGGCCGGGATTTCCCGGCCTTCGTACGACACCCCGACACTAATCTTCTGGACATGAGATGGGAACATCGAAGCCATCAGCCGCATCCATGGAACGATAACCGACAGAGGTTGATAGTCGCGGAAGAACAGATCTTCAAACTGAGCCGACTGTCGCACCGAGGGGATGAATCCAGGCTGATCCTCAAGTCCAATACGGCGTCGAGTCGGGTAAGATGCGTATATCATTTCAGCAAGGTTGTCAATAAGGGGAGTGTACGCGGTCCGAAGCGAATCGGGCAACAGGCCCAGTAACGAGGGGATCTATCATACAATCGATAATGAGCGCTGGGCGAAGATGTTGGCGGGACTAGCCATATACGTACAACTTCTTCCGCTAATCGAATATCAACAAATTCAGATGTGGAAGCCCAGACATCCAGGAAGAGGACATCAGTCGCTTCAGCCAATGCCTCTGCCTCTTCGGCATTGCGCAGGTGGAAACGAAGGACGACATCGCTGCCATACCGAGCAAGCGATCGGGAGGGAGAGCGGTTGCGCGAAGAATCTTTAAAGGAGCGTTGACGCGAGGGGGATTTGGGAATGCCCCAGATGGACTCTATGACCCAATCTCGGACTCGGATCCATGGTCGTCTGGAGTCAGTAGATGGGGACGATAACAAATGGATAGGTTCAATGGGCGGCGGAGGTGTGATACTGGAGCCTGCGGGGACGGCGGATACCAGGCCGAGCGAGGCGACCAGGAGGAGGAGAACAGATAGCAGGAGACGCATGTCTATAGAAGGATAGAGACAACAATTATGCTGTCATTGTCTCTGTCGGATCCCTGGGTTCCTAGAGGAGAAACAAGGACGGGATCAGAATGGAGGAGCGACGATGTTGGATGATGGTGGTTGACGCCTTGTGGATGCCTCAGGCATGAGACATTCCGATATCAGCCATGTTCGCCTGATTAGGTATGGTGTATTCTGCCCATTTAGGCAATATCAGGACTGAGCCAGTCTCGAATTACCGAATGATTGACTGATGCTTCAAGAAATAGTGATCAGTTGACATGGTACAGAGTAGATATGGTTTATACTTTTCTCACTGAGATGCCTATGATTACATACTCGCATAATATTATATGTTAGCAGCAGTACGCCGCTCACAATGACTGATGATGAAGGGGGGCACAAAGGGAGTGGTGTTTCATCAATGACCAAACCCTACAGATTGGACTAGATATAGGCACATCTCTCAAAGAATGCCATGAGTCTACTAGTCTAATGTGCCTCAGTGGAAGGCTATCCAATATCCAAGATGGTCAATTAGTGATAACAGCTTGAGCTGACAGTTGCCATTTCTGCCTTAGGCACTAGCAACCGTACCCCACACTTACAGGCTCCACAGCCCCGCTCCTTCTTCCACATAAGGTTTAGTCCCTGATGAAGCGATAGAGCTGTCATTGAGAGCCTCAAAAAGTGAAGTCACCCATCACTACGGAGTAAGTCTGCTTGATGATGTAAGTCTTCTGTCAGAAGTCGAAGTAGTATTTATAGCTGTGGACCTGTCTAGATATGCCTAGGTTACCTCTTTTCAGTTTGCGGTCTTCCTTGCCGTAGATATGCATATGGCACCAGTCAATGTCCTTGGTCACTTAAGCTCGTACTCCTCATTCTAAGCGTCTAGATTGGTATTCGGTAGAGAAGTCTGTAGACTTGTTGCGGGACTGCCAACGACACAGTAGACAGCAGTCCTAAGTCTGGACTCTGGTCTATCACTCTCTTCCAGGCAGAACAATTCTGGACTGGCTCACGTGACATGTAAGCAGTGGAAGAAACGCGTGTAAATGACGCAGTGCGTAAAGCAGCCGCGTACAGTCATGATGATGGAGTCGGTAAGAGGCTCGCCTTTTCCTTCCGTTTTCTTGGATATACTGGCATCAGGATTATCTCCAATTCCAATGGGAATTCTGGAAGATGGTAAATGATGATCCTCAATGCAGCAACGAGCATAACCATGATGACGAACCGGTTCGCAAAGCCGTACACAAGGCATCTTCTATTGGTTATGGAAACTTGAACCAGGGCAAAGACCCTGGTTTCTAGAGATGGAACTTGTGGAAATGAGAAGTTTAGGACTTGAGGTTATAGATATAGGTTATAAGGTACCAAGTACCAAGCATAGGTACTTTATTTACAAGTCAGAAATGTGAGGATGGTTTCTTCCGCGACACTGGTCACTCTCAGTCTCAGGCTCATCTCCAGGTAGATAGGTATGGGGTAGTAATAGTCAAGATCGCAAGTGATCAGATTCATGGGCATGATAATTCTCTAATCTATCATAATAAATTCACCAGATCATGTCAAACAAGGAATGAATATTAATACCCACTTTCTAGACACACGTGCTGGGCCTTTTCTTCATTTCTCTATCTCCAGTCAGACCCATAGTCCAGTCCAGTCCATATTCCATAGAGTATCCGTACTACGGATACAATCCACACCACCATCATCATCATCACCATCATCATCTTCATCTTCATCCCTCTTTATTCGCTAAAGACGCTCAGATCTCTTCATTTTCCATTGCTTCCCGCAAGGATCCCAGTACCTAGCGAGGATTACCCAGCTCCCTGCCCCTCCTTTCTCCTACGTTCCAACCAACCTCTCCAGTCTAGTCTAGATTCCCTTTTTGCCAATCTGTTTTCCCTTCCTTGGCATCTCCAATGTTCTCCTCGGCCGCTCCTCTGCTCCTGAACAACGCACCTCTTTTCGCTCAATCCTACTAGACGCCTGGCAATGTAAGGGTTGCATTTGCCAGCTCCCGCTTTTTCCTGCTTCTCGACAATCCGGGGTTTTCCTTCTTGATCGACTGCCTCTCTGGTCCCCTTTCCCCTTTTCGAAACTTCCGCGACCTTCCTCCATTTCCGCCATACTCCTCCGTATCTTTTGACCATTGCTTGATCCTCAGCAAACCGAAACTTTTTTCTTCCTCTCTCTGGCACGAATCGTCCGCGATGCCAATTGGTCGTATTTCATGATCCCTACGCCGTGATCTCCTCCGAAATCGTGCATTACGGAACGGCTTCGAACAGTTCGGGTTGCCCCTTGACTTTCCTTTCCGAAATACCATCGGTCGCAGTGGGTGATTCGCTCGAGATCTATATGGTCCTCGTCGGATGGGTCGCTTCAATCGGTTGCGCAGCAGGATCGCATAAGGACCCGACTCCCGTCGTTTTGTTTCAGCCATGCATTGGAAAGGGTTGCGACTCGGCGCTCTCGATAGCAATGACTCCAAAAGACGCAGTCTCGTCGAGCCTCAAGCACTGTCTCGCCATAGCGAACAATTGCCTCGTCCTACCCTATCTACAACCAACCTTGCATCCAGGCACTCCGAGTCCGCCCCTCGTTCACCTCTCTTAGCGGGACCAGATCACGATGACGAAAATGGGCACGACGATCACGAGGCCGCAGACAACGATAAACACTTGTCGGAAGGGCCAGCGGACACGATTCGCTCGAGAAAGGGCAATTTGGGCGCAGCCTTGGTGCCTGACGAGGCTTCTACCTGGCGCAGGAACCGGTTCAGTTTCATGAAACTTCGTCATGCGTCGGATCCCCAATTATCAAGGTCTTATGCCAAGGGTGAAGAAGGAGCACCTCCAGTGCCTCCTTTGCCGCGTGAGTACACATCCGAGCTTCTACAGACTATATGTTGTCGATCTGCGCATGCTGACTTTTGATCTCCGCCCCCTGCCTCCAGCTCCCACCATTATCACTACCGCACCGACCAGCCATGAACTCGACCAACCCGTTAAGAAGAAGCCTAAATTCAAAATTCTCTCCGGATCGAGAAAGGGCTCGTCCGACGGATCACCACTGTATGCTCAGCGACAAAGTCCAGGTACCAATTCTCGCCATGGGCCCCAGGGCTCCACCGGGTCGCAGGCCACCGATGCCACATTGTCAACGTCCAAGATGAGTGGGGAAGAACCAGGTCGTCTCTCGACTACGTCAATCCGCAGTAGTGGCCGTGAGCCCGGCAACGAGTCCCAACGTTCTTCGGTCACTGACGCTCGGTTTTCCGAGTCCTCCCGTTCGGACCAGAGTTCCGGCGACCATGGAATATACCATCCCCATTCCCCGAACGAGGGAACCTTAGGCGGAAGTAAACGATTTCGCATGCCACGTTTGAAGCGAAATCGCGGTCCTCTATTTCCCTTGCCTCCTCGACCTGCTGGTACTCAACCCATGAATGGCTATGGACAGGACTCGCGGATATCGAGCGCCATGAGTCCTGATCCCGCACCCAGGTTTGAGCCGCCAGATGAAAAGGACCAGGACCGCGTTTCTCCGCTACCGTCGCCCTCTCGTTCGACTGTTGGCCTTGCCTCTCCGGCTTTTCCTCTGCGCAGAAAGGACTCGGCAAATTCCGCCAACTCCGCCCGGTCAACTCCTTCCACTCGAAGTGGACATCGACCCAAAACCCGGCCAAGGTCATCGACGCTAGACTCGTTGGCTAATATCCGGGATGCTGGGCAACAGTCGCCCGCTCAATTCGCCTCGTCCGGTCGTACTTCGACTTCCACTAGTGGACGCAAAAGTTTCGGGGACATCTTCAGCATCTCACAGCGATTGAGACAGAATTCAGAAACCCCCGTTCTTCGAAATGGCTCGCCCGGGGTGAAAGGCTCGGATACTCCTGTTCGCAAACTGTCCTACCCCGAACGCGAGGAGACTGATACGCCAGCCACGTATCTGACGCGGCTCGAAGAGAGCATACCCAAGAGCACGATTGCGGGCGTGCTCTGTCAGTCAAACGAAGATTTCTACAAGACAGCATTGCGAAAGTACATGCGGAGATTCATTTTCTTTGGTGACCCCATCGATATGGCTATCCGAAAGCTTTTGATGGGCGCCGAGTTGCCCAAGGAGACCCAACAGATTGATCGCTTCCTACAAAGTTTTGCCGATCGGTATCATGAATGTAATCCTGGCATCTTTGCTTCTCCCGGTACGTTTGTTCCTTCAGTGATGCATTTTTGATCCTGGACTGTTCGTACTGACTTTCTCTTCTACAGACCAGGCATATTTCATTGCATTTTCCATCTTGATTCTACACACAGATGTCTTTAACAAGAACAACAAGCGCAAGATGCAAAAGTCGGATTATGTTCGGAATACTCGTGGCGAAGGTGTATCTGATGACATTTTGGAATGCATTTACGAGAACATCGCTTACACGCCTTTCATCCACATCGAGGATACACATCCTAACAGTCGTCAGCTTGGAAAGCCTCGACGGCCCTTGTTCAAGACCGCAAGTTCAGAGCATTTGTCCCGCGTATCAAGGGAACCGGTAGACCCGTACACGTTGATCATGGACGGCAAGCTCGACTCATTACGACCGAGTCTCAAGGACGTTATGAACTTGGAAGACACATATCGATGTCATGGGACGACAGGGCCACCTGACATCAACAGTCTCCATCAGGCCTTTTCGAAAACAGCTATTCTGCAGATCGTATCAGCCCGGTCGCGGCCGGATGCGTTCATGCCGTCTAGCATCGAGAACCCGGCCGATTCGCACCCCGGGTTGGTTGACATAAAAGTGGCCAAAGTTGGTCTGCTCTGGCGAAAAGATCCAAAGAAGAAGAGAGCCAGATCGCCGTGGCAAGAATGGGGCGCTCTGCTTACATTCTCGCAGTTGTACTTCTTTAGAGACGTCAATTGGATCAAGTCGTTGATGTCCCAGCATGAGTCTCATCAGAAGGAGGGGCGCCGTCGGGCGGTTGTGTTCAAACCACCTCTCATCCAGTTCAAACCCGACGGCATCATGTCTACGGATGATGCAGTTGCGCTAGTGGATTCGGGCTACAAAAAGCATAAGCACGCATTCCTTTTCGTTCGCCACCACGCGCTGGAGGAGGTGTTCTTGGCCAATTCCGAAGACGATATGAACGATTGGCTGGCCAAAATCAATTACGCTGCTGCCTTCCGGAGCACGGGGGTCCGCACCAAAGGCATGATAGCTACCAATTACGACGCTCAGCGCAACAGGATGAGTCGCAAAGCCTCCGTGACGTCGTGCAATTCACAGCGCTCAGCAGACAGGGAGCCCCCCTCTCCCAATCCCGATACCGACGTGGCTGAGGAACTGGTCGTGGCTCGTAAGGAGCTCATACGACAGAAGATCCGCGAGACAAACGAGAAGCTTTTCGTGGACCAAAAGCAGCTTGACGACCTCTTGAGGAATGCGAGACATCTGCAGGTTTTAACACCGGTCACCTCGAGGGCCAGGGAGCAGGTCATCATGGCCGCAGGGCGCATGGCGGCCAAGCTCAAGTGGGTGAGGCAGGACATCTGGCGTAACAAATGCCACCAGGAAGTTCTCCTTCGGGATCTGGGCAATGAGGATGAAGAGGTCAAGTCGCTTGTGGATCAGAGGTCCCTTCACCTCCAGATACCCACCAGGAACACCTCCACTTCGGAGCCAGGAGCCCTGCCCCAGCCGCCTGCCAACGCAGTGCAGTCGCCGAGTCAGGCTACGTCTCCACAGTTACCGTCCGAAGAGCCTGCGTCTGTTCATAGGGTACCGTCGTCCCAAATTGCTCCTAGTGATATTCGCAGACCAAGCATTCCGGCGTCGGTGACATCCTCAGACCTCGCTGGCCGTGCCGGTAGACGTTTGTCCGCGGAGATTGGCAAAGATCGGGCAAAGTCGTATTCGCCAGGCCCGGCAAACCGACTCGAACGCGAGCCATCGGTACTGAGCGCCGGCAGCCGGATAGATGTTGCCAGTCTAGGATCTCATGCCTCCAAATTGACCTCTCCGATCAGCATGGACGACGGCGAGGAGCGTATCCTCCGTGAGGCTGGTTTGTTAGAGGTGAACAGCTCCCCTCGCGGGAATAGACAGTCCGTCACAGCCCATGAGACGGATGGTGAACCCAAGGAAGACAGCGCGGATTCCCGCCAAGGAGAACAGACGAGCCGGATTCGTCGCAGCCTTCACCGCACACTTCGTGATTCCCACCACGGACAACAAGGACATCATGCTCGGGGCAAGAAGCCGCGGGACTCGATGTCCAGCGAAGTGGTGCCCGAAGACGAGCAAGACGCGAAGGAAGGCGAGGGTCTCTCCCGCAAGACGCCGCGCTTCACTGTGCATGGGAAGAAGGCATCTATTGTCACTTTTGGATCTGAGTGGCAGAATATGACTCCCGAAGAGCGCCTCAAGCTGCGCAAACCCACTCCGTCCGAGGAGCCCAGAGCCTCCGACCCTGCCATTCTGAGCGGCGGCGATCCGAGTCTCTCGGAGCCGCTGAACCCAGGAATCTCCCAATCGTTGCGGAGCGGAAGCACTGCAACAAGAATCAGCGTGCTCGGTCCGGTCGAGAGCGAGGGATCCAGAGATGGAAATACCGCTCTTGACCTGGAGGACAGAAAGGCCAAGAGCGACAACGCCATTGATCTAAGCTCTAATCTTCCAGCCTCAGATGTCGCTTCACTGGCTGCTTCGTCCACCGCGGCTTTCCCGGAATCGTTGGTAATGGCAAAAGACCAGCGGTCATCCCCTTCAACATCGGCTGACGAGGCAGTCGATGAAAACACAATCCAGAAACTGCAGTCGAGCCCACCTGAGCAAGCTGTACATGCATAAAGAGCAAGCCTAAGACTGACTACCTTCCATTTACGACTTCATACCAATACATCTCACTTCACGTTTCATTTGTTTCTGGCGTCGTCTTGCAGCGTTTTAAGGAATCGGTTTGTTCTCCAAAACCTATTGATTGTGCTTGGCTTTGTTCGCAAAGCTGCCTGGCCATGCATTAGCATTCCCTTTTGCTCTCTCTCTCTCTCTCTCTCTCTCTCTCTCTCTGTCTCTCTCTCTGTCTCTCTTTCCTATCGCTTGGACACGGCTTCATAGAGTTCACAAACGCGATCCTCGCACTCTTATTTCCTTTCCTACGCTTCGGTTATGGCCCAGTAGGGCAACAGGGTCGGTTTGTCTGGTCTGTTTGTATGGCGGTTGGTTTACGGATTTTATACGGGAAGGCAGCATTTTGGCAGGTATCTGAAAATTCATAGCATGTCATCTCGACAGGAGATTGCAGTATACATTTGTTACTCTTGAGATGCAATAGTATAGTCGACCGCGGTCGACCAAGCTTATCTCTCACGATTCCCTAGGACTATATAGACAAAAGGAATAGAAAATCCTTCTCTTGAGCTATCCATTCTACTGTTCATGTCATTCACATATCTCCGTGCAACTCTTGATGAACCGTTTATGCGACGGACCCGCTTGCAGATGTGAGCACTCCTTCACAGCAACCAGGGCTTCTCGGCGTTGTCCCCTCTTGTTGTTTTCCTGTATGTTTGTGTTCACGGCTCTGGACTTCTTCCATCCATCTACCCTTCCCAGACTTATTTTCCATCTAATCATCTCACTCATCCCATTTCATCTCACTGCATCTCATTGCATCTCGAGTTGATACTCTGGCTATACCGCTCGTCGATTCTCTCGTTCCAAAGACTGATTCCGGGAAGTAAGGCCGGATAACACAGTAAGGAGAAAGACAGTAAGCTGGCAAGCTCCCCAAGACTAGGTAGCCTGGCCTTGGGCTGATCATCTTATGCTTGCGTACGTTGTTCTTTATCTGTATCTCGTGTCGCTTGCTTTGATTTGGTCAAGAGTGAAAGGAGGGAAACACCGGTGAGTGACTTTCTTTCTCTCATTTCATCCTGAAAGAGATGTCTGTGATTGTCTGAGAAGTGGTTCATGGCTGACTAGGTGGCTGTATAGTTGCTGCTGTTTAGTTAGGAAGATGTCTTTAGGTCATGCACAGTCACGTGAGGGTGTGCCGTGCAGCGGGATGGGAGTAGCTCGTGCTGGTGGGCGGTCTACTCGATATAGTGATTCAAAGATGCTGATTTGTTTGTCTAGGAGGTGAAGAGGTAGAGGTCCAGGGAGAAAGGCAGCTCAACCGGCCCCTGCTTGCGTTGCCTGCTCCCCCTCCGCCGCCGCCGCCGCGGTCCAGTCTTCGGCCACTTCCGGTCCCGGTTGCCGAGGATCCGGATGAGAAGCTTTTTAGGCATACCTATGAGAAAAGGACTGAGAGGAAGTACATCGATGAGTCGGTCGGCTATGGCCTGTTCACGACCGCGCGCATCCCGGCCGGGGAGGTCGTGTTCGCGGAGAAAGTCGTCTGGCTGGCGGGCACGGAGGCCCAGCGCTGGAAGGGTACCAAGGCGGCCGACGACCTCGTCGCTGAGAAGGTCCGCGCGATGGGCGAGGAGTGGCACCGGGGTTTCCTGGGGCTTCCGAATCCGCAGCCCAAGGAGAAGGGCGGGGGTTCGTCCGCGCGTGCGTATACGCAGATCTGGAAGAGGTATCATATGATTGCTCTCCAGTCGCAGAATGTAAAGGCGTTGGTGCTGGGGCTGAAGCTGGCGTTTGTGAACCACTCGTGTATTGCGAATGCGTCTCTCTACTATACATTGCGGTATCCGAGGGATGAGAACGGGGTGGAGGATAAGAGCTTGCCGCCGGGGATTGGGCGGGCGGTAGTGCGCGCGTCCAGGGACATCAAGGCTGGCGAGGAGATCACCGTTGCTTACTTCTACGCCAAGGGGGAGTGTGGGGTCCGCCAGTTGATGTCCAGTATGTACTGCAAGTTCTGGTGCGTGTGTGCGTTCTGTCGGGAGCCCGTCCCCGAGACGGAGAATGCTCTGGAAAGGCTCTACACTCTGGAGACCATCTTCGAGGACGCAGATACCCTGTATAAGCGGCCCGCGGTGGTGTTCAAGACCGCATACGAGCTTATCAAGCTGTTCGAGCGACTCAAGATCAGCGACACGCGCGAGGTCCAGGTCTGGCTCTACTGCGCGATGCTTGCGGGGTTCAACTGCGATCTCGGCCGGGCTATGCTCTTCTTGATCAAGGCGCGCGGCTTGGTCCTAAGACTCCATGGTCCCAACGGTCACCTGTACGACAGGATCAGGATCTATTGCCAGATGCCTCCTCTCATGCCGGGCTTCGGAGCTACCACCCGCGGTCTCTCTGCGGTGAAACAGTGCTATTTCATGTTTGCCGATCAGAAGCACGCCGCAGATGTCTTGTTCATGCTCACAGCAAAGCCGGACGAGTACATCCGCCTGCACCGTTACCGTCGAAGGCCTAACAACCTGGTAAAGCCGGGGGAGAGCAGATACTTCGTCCGCTACGACGCGCAAGATGCGAAACGGAAGAAATTCGAGGAGGAGGAGCCAGACACTGTTGAGTTCATACCATGGTGGTATGATCCTGAGGTGAGGAAACAGATCCTCGAGGAGAAAAAGGCCAAGGAGGCGGAGAGGAAGGAGGAAGAGAGCAAGAAGGCAGCCAAGAAGAAGAAGAAGAGGGAGGAACAACCGGGTAAGGAGACTACCGATCCAGACTGCATTGAGCCAGAAAAGGATTTCCTGGATATCTGCCGCGAATTGATGCGCGAATTCGACGCTTCAGACGAGGAGCAGCCTGAGAGGGAGCAGCAGGAACTCAGAGAGAAAGACAGGGAAACCCTGAGAAACCTACTGGGCGCAAAGAATGAACCAAAGAAGCGAGGCGACGAGGAAGACGAAGTTGAGGGCAACCAGAAGCATGAGAAGCCTGGCGGATCAAAGACCCAGCTCCCTCCTCACAAGCACGAGCCGGTGCCATCGCAGCCCGTTGTACGAGAGGTGGCAGCAAGAAAGAGAGTGGTGGTCGAGACGCCTCCTGTTCTGCCGGAGATAGAACAGTTTGCTCCTATTGAGCTTTGGTGACTTCGGTGACTTCTTCGTTTCCTCTCACATGTTAGAGTATCGAGCAATTCTTGAGGAGTTGGTGATGGAAAGTCGGACTGGAGATGAAGTGGACGCCGGGTCACTGATTATGTCATGTCACGCTTTATCTTCATTCCTGAAGTGAAGTTCCCCAATTTCCTCCCAACCTTTCAATGTTTTTCGTCTTTCAATCCTGCCAGATGCCGTTTCTTCTTGTCTGTGTATAGCTTAGTACTTTCGAAATACATACATCTGTGTCTATCCTCTATCCCATCGAGTCCCGCCCATAACACTACCCCTACCCCGACGATAAATGCGCCGATAAACACCACCAGGATCCAGAATGGCGCACTCCAAACGAAACACCTCTCTCCCCCATTTCACCTCGTACGAACGGGGCCTTCTCCGCTCGACCTGGGGCACCAAGCGCGGCGTCATCAGCCGCGACTCCTTCCTCCCCTTTGGCTCTTGTCGCCTCTGCCTGCGCCCCGCGCGAAGCCCCGTCGTCGCCTGCGCAACGAACGGCGACCTCTTCTGTCGCGAATGCGCCATCAACGACCTCCTCGCCCAACGGCAGGAGATCAAGCGTCTCGAGCGGGAACGCGAGGAGGCCCGGAAGCGCCTGGCCGAGGACGAAGAGCGGGGGCTCGAGGAGGCGCGGCGGAGGGAACTTCGCGAGTTTGAGCTCGTGAGCATGGGGCTGGAGGCCGCGAAGAAGGACCACGCGAAGGGGACCGGCGGTGGGGGCGATAATCAGCGGAAGCGCAAGGCGGAGGAGACCGAGGAGGCGTTGGCGGCGTTCAAGGCGCGCGAGGTTGAGGTCGACGGGAAGCGGAAGAAGATCTTTGAGCTAGACGAGAAGGAGATGGCTCGGATTGCGCGGGAGGAACAGGAGCGGCTGAAGCGGGAGCTGAAGCGGGAGAAGGTGCTTTTCTTGCAGTGACCGGGTCCTTCTGGTGTTACATTTGGCTAACTGGTGCAGTCGGAGTCGAGCAAATCCGCGCTCCCCTCGTTCTGGGTCCCCTCGCTCACGCCGTCGACGGATCCCAATGAAATCGCTGCGAACAAGGCCGTCAAGCTGACGCCCATCTGTCCCGGGTCGACGGACGAGAACCGCCATGCCTATTCGCTCAAATCGCTGGTCGAGGTGCACTTTACCGAGGAGAAGGCGGCGGACGGCACCGTCTCGCGGATCTGCCCAAGCTGTAAGAAGAACCTCAGTAACGGGCTCAAGGCGATGCGTATGTGCTGTCCTTCTACAATACTACAAGCGCTCAGTTCGGCTAACGAATTAGTGGCGAAACCCTGTGGCCATGTTATCTGCCAACCGTGCGTCACCAAGTTCATGTCGCCGCAGGATGTCCCAGATCCCCATGCCAGCAAGGAGGAACAGGAGCGGACGGCGGCGCTGCACGGTCTGATTCTCTGCTACGTGTGTGAGGCGGACATCACGCCGCGGGATCCCAAGGCCGAAGCTGAAGAGAATGGAACCGAAAAGGGGAACGGGAAGAAGTCGAAGAAGAAGGATAGGGAGCAGGGGATTCGGCCGGGGTTGGTGCAGGTCAGCTCGGAGGGGACGGGGTTTGCAGGCCGGGGAGGAAATGTAGCGACCAAGGCTGGGGTTGCCTTTCAATGTTGAGACTATGAGCATACGCGGAGTTTGGGGTTTGGGTATGGACTGGTGAAAAAATGTATTTCCAGTGTCAGTTGACTAGACTAGATGATCCATCAGATGACACGCCCAACAACGCCGGACAAACGAGAACGAATATAATATAGGTACACCAGAAAGAACATGGAGAGATTGTATACATGAACACCAGCCTAGGCCGCTCTCTTATTGGCGTTGTTGAATTCCCGCACAACGATATCGCACTTGATCTCCTGGCAGAGACGCTTGCGACGGCTAGGATCCAGCTTGGAAGCAAACTCCAAACCACTCGCCCGCTCCAACACCTCCAGCGGCACTTCAAACTCAGCCAGACGCTTGTCGTTGGGGATCCGGGCATTGGGAAGCACAAACGCACCCAGCGAGACCTTGCTGGCCGGGGTGGCCGTCCCGTCCTCCGCGTAGATGACCTTGTAGAAGTGCGTCGGCACAGCCACGTTGGGCGGGGTCCCAATCACTTCGTACGAGACGCGCCACTTGCCGTCCGGGTCGCGATGGGGCAGGTACAAGGGGCCCGTGACGATGCGGACGGAGGGATACTTCTTGGTCAGATCGCGGCAGAACTCCTCAAAGTGCGCCCAGTAGTCGCGGTTGAAGCCCTCGCCGACCTGAGGGCACATGTTGGTGAGCGCGAAGGTGCCATCCATCGCGTCCTGGGACCATTTGGCGTCGGCGGCGGGCACCTGGTGGCCGCGGTCGTAGCCGGAGCGGAAGTAGTCGGCCAGTTTGGCGCGGAAAAGGGCGGGGATGCTGGCGTCTTCGACGAAGGCGCTGTGTTTCCGGTCGGCGTTTTTCAGGGAGAGCGAGTACGGTGTGATGTGCTCGGCGACCCAGGCGGGATTGCGTGTGCGACGGTCGTAGGCGCCGGTCAAGGGCAGGGAGGTGATGGTATCGGCGATGGGGCCGGGGAAGCCGTACTGGTAGATACCGGCGGGATCAACGGGGGAGCCGCCCGAGGGTTTGCTGGCGGGAGTTTTGGCCAGAGAGGGAGGAGGAATGGTCGCAGGAGGGGCGATTGTAGCCGGTTGGGACGGAGGAGGCGAAGGAGGGAGCTGTTGTTGTTGCGGCTGTTGAGGTCGAGAGGATGAGGAGTAGAGGAGAGCGGTGATACCAGCACCAGTAGCTGCACTGGCGGCAGCGATGGCCGCAATCGTAGCTTTCGACATGATGAAGAGGAAGGAAAGGGGGATATAAAAGGATAAAAAACCCGTTGGACCGAGTCAAGGAGGTAGAAAGGAGTGGATAGAGGGACGGGGTTAAGAGAGAGAGAAAGAAAATATTGCCGAAGAGAGCAAAGATGAAGCCAAAGTAACAGCCAATCAGAGAGAAGGAGATGGCTGGAGCAACAACAGGGCACTTATGGGTACGGAGTAGGTATCTAGGAGGAAGATATTGACAAGCTGGCTACCCTGGCTCTATAAAGGAGAAGATCAGTAAAGATTCTATAAAAGAGTATACGGTCATCTGCTTGAATGTCCTGCTGACGCCTCCAGTGTTCAGCTGCGGAAATAGAGGAGCCCTGCACTTGGAGACGTGGGCTGTCTCCAGAGCAAACAAGTAAGCTGAGATCTCTGCATATATTTATCCTGATAGTATCAGACATCTTGCTCACTCCATCCTGAGACCCCTAATCTATCAATATCTCATCATTCTCATGATACCCTTCTGCTTGCTAATCTGGCGGTGACAATGCGGACCTTGGGAGAAAATGGCGGCGATATTAATAGTGGTGGTCATCTGGACTCGAGGAATGCATCGTTGCAAGGGGATGACTCGTCCTGAATTCTGGAAGAAGCAACAATAAGATGGATTCATCCTTTTGACAACAACATCAACATCTGAACAGCTGTGGTGATAGAAAGAGGGAACGTGGTTCCTGCCAGTGGCATTCCTCTCCGATCCTGACATCACTCTCTTCCATCCGCCTTCCGCCATTCCACTACTAGGTACTGTTATCTCTCTACTGCCGCTGCTACTGCTACTCCCACTCCCACTCAGCTCCATCATGGCTGCCAGCAGTGACCTCCGTGGCTGGCTGATGAGCGGGGTCTCTGGCATAGGTAAGTCCTTCAGATTCCAACCTCGATATTTCCAATCTAATTCATCAAAGCCTGCGTCCTTGGTTCTTCCGTCATCTGCATCGATGTTCTGCTGCAGCGATTCTCTCGCCGCAAGAACTTCCAGATCGTCAACAGCAATGGCTTCTTGTCAGCCTCTCTGTGTCTGAGTTCTGGTGTTCTGGTACTTTATTCTCCCTTTTCTGGTCCCTTTTACAAGCAAATCCTAATCCTGTAGCTCTTCACCTCCCTCTATAGCATGCTCCCTACCTCGAAGGAATACCTCACTCGAGCTGGATTCTCCCCCCGCGCAGCGGCCTACACTCTCATCGGACTCTTCTTGGCTGGGGTGATCGTCATTCGACTTATTTCTGCTCTCATCCACCAGCATATTCCCTCTCATGTCGTCGATTGCGCCCATACTCACGAGCCAAACCAAGATCCCGAACGCGGCGATGCTGGACGGCAAGAGCAGCCGGCGCCCGCTCTTCGCCAGGCAAATGGCAACACGGAACGGACGCCTCTCCTGCGACGAACAAATCCGCCATCATGCAAGTCCACACCGGGTGCTGTTGAGCGACCAGCGCTCGAACCTCTGCGGTCCCGGTTGACTCGGCGCTTCAACCAGCTCATGGGTGGCGTCAAACCCCTCTGTGACGAAAACGGCCCGTGCTATGGTTTCTCGCAGACCTGCGGTCTTGAATGTTCCAAAATCCTCACTCCGCAGATGATTAGCGTCACCGATGAGATTATTCGGCCTTCCTTAGCTACGCATCACACCATTGGCGTCCAGCTGGACTCGGAACGAGCAGGGCCTGAAGAAGGTGCTGGCCCAGGGTTGCTCGTTCCGTCGCATGATTTGGCACAAGACTTTTCGGGGCCATTGGATGCCGGTTCCTCACAGGAACACCAAAGCAGCGCATCCTCCTCGCGGACAGGTCTCCAAGCCTATCCCTACAAGTCCCCAGAGGACCAGGACGAGTCGACCAAAGCTCCACCGGCCGCATCGTCGCAACACCATCACCACGTGCCCCAGAATGCCTTCCTATCCATCGGCCTCCAGACTTCGTTAGCTATTGCCCTCCACAAGCTCCCAGAGGGCTTCATCACATACGCTACCAATCATGCCAGCCCCACGCTCGGCATGACCGTCTTCGTCGCCCTCTTCATCCACAACATCAGCGAAGGCTTCGCCATGGCCCTCCCGCTCTACCTCGCCCTCCACTCCCGCTGGAAAGCCATGTTCTGGTCCAGCCTGCTCGGCGGAATCAGCCAGCCCGCCGGCGCCGGCCTCGCCGCTCTTTGGATCTGGGGCGCGCAGAAAGCCGGCCACGGCGACGCGACTACCGGTCCCTCCTGGGGTGTATATGGGGGCATGTTCGCTGCTACAGCCGGCGTCATGACCTCCGTTGGTCTGCAGCTTTTCAGTGAAGGGCTTGGATTGACGCACCATCGTGGGATGGGTGTAGGATTCGCGATCGCTGGGATGGGTTTAATGGGGCTGAGTTTTGCGCTGACTGCGTGAGTATGCTCTCCAGGTTTATTGAGGCGTTGAGGTCCACTCTCTTTTCTTCCAAGTAGATGTGCATGTGCATTATACATGGTTGCATCGGACAGGCTGCATCGGTATAAATTGGGTATATGGAAATAGGGGCCGGTATTGTTATTATTGTTGTATTCCTTGACGACTGTCTCTCTGCATTATGAGTTACGAGCGTTTGTTCTAAAATCAATGGTTAGTATGTAGTATAGAGCATGCCTTAATACAGCATCAAGTCTAATCATGCTGCACTTCTCGAGTGATGCTCTCTGCTCAAGATATATATCTGCCTAATGAGGATGCTTTCAGAGTCTTGGATCGGCATTCCGTCGTAGATCTTGTATATTATTTCTTCCCAGTTTCAAGGTACTGTACATATGAAATTAATGCTATATCCAACGCCATAACATGCACTTATAACTCCAACGACCTGTTCAAGGCGGATGCAAAGGAACCAAGGAATAAACAAGTAGGCTACGACCCCCTCTTGGCAGCCTCTTCTCGCTCCCTCTTTCTCGCCAGATATCGCTCCCTCGCGCTCGAAACATCGGTTTCCGTCTTGCGAGTGCGGCTGCGCTCGGCGATCTCCCGCTGTCGCGCGGCCTCCGCCTCTTCCTCTTGCCGCGCTTTCTCCTCCAGCTGCTGCGCAATCATCTCCGTCTGGCGGGCGCGCTGGCCTGCACGCGCAGCCTGGTGCCGCGAGTCGACGCGGGGCTTGTTTGCGGCCGCACGCGCAGCAGCCGCAGCAGCACTCGCCGAGGCGGACGGCTTGGGCTTCGGGGCGACGTTCAGACCGGCGGACAGCAACTGCCGCTTGTCGACGACCTGGCCCTCGTCGTTGATGGCGATGTGCGCGCCCTTGGCGTTGAGCTCCGCCGCGATCTGCGCCTCGGTCTTTTCCTTGTTGGCTGCCTCCGCGGTGGGTTCTTCGGCGGCGACCACCTCGCCCGCCTGCACCCGTCGCGCGGCCTCCTCCGCCGCCTTGACGACTTCCTCGTGCCGCTGCTCGTCCCGAGAGAGCATGTCCCGGTAGAACCCGACCATACCGGTCCCGCCGTTCTGCTTCCGCCGTTCTTCCTCTTGCCTTTCCCGCTCCGCGTCTTCCTGCTCGATCCGCCGCAGCTCCTCCTGCTGCGCCTTGTACGCCGAGGTCACGAACTTCTCCTTGTCGGCGAACTCGTCGCCCTCCGCCTCGCGCTCCTTGGCGAGCAGTCTGTCGCGCGCGCGCAGCTGGTCCCGCTTGCGGATCTCCGCGCTGCGCAGCAGCGAGGTCATGTACCGCGGCCCGTCGTTTTGGGCGTCCGGGGCGGCGGCTTTGGCTTTGTCGGCTTTGGCGTGGAGGCTGTCGTAGATGGCGTCGTAGGAGTAGATGGAGGGGTCGAGCTGTTGGGCTTCCTCGGCGTGTTTCTTGCTGCTGCGGAGGGCGGAGAGATTGGTGTACTCGGCGTTGGGTTTGTTTTTGGCGGGATTGAGGCCCAGGGGCATCGGTTGCGGTTCTTGTTCCTCTTCCTCGTCGGCGAAGATGGAGGCCTTGCTTAGGGGTTTGATGTTCGGTTTCCCGGTTTGGGGGCCTGCCGGCGGTTTTCGTTTTGCGGGCGGTTCTGTGGTTCGTTTTTCGCTGGTAGACGGTCTGGGTGATTCTTCGAGGCCGCCGATTGTGGTTACCTCGATGGCGCCGTCGCCGTCGCCGGCATCTTTCTGGGTTTCGCCTTCGGAGTCGGAGTCGAATATGGTCTTCTTGCGTTTTTGTGAACCCGGCGGTCCGAGTTTCGAGGTTGGTGGTTTCTTGCTGGGAAGGTTGAGCCCGTAGGACAGTTTCGGAGGGGGCATGGTGCTACTAGGACAGAGGCTGTCGGAGCCTGACCCCAATTCGGTGCAGTTGAAGATATGATGAGCAAAGGAATCTGAATGGAAGTTGAATGGATGACCTGTATAGGATGAGTTCATCTCATGGTTATCTTATCAACCACGTGACTCTCATCTCCAAACAAACTGACCCCATATTCACTGTTATTTACTCCGTACACCTGCGGAGTGCCTTGAACAGAGAGGTCGTCAGATAAAATGTCATACTACTTCACCATCCTCTCCCCCACCGACGCCCCCTTATTCAACATCGCCTTCGGCACCTCCAAAGGCGGCGGAGATGGCATCGCAAGATTCCGCTTCCCAGACACAGCGCAATACATGAACCAATTCATCATCCACTCGAGCCTGGACATTGTCGAGGAAGCCCAATGGATGAATGGCAATATGTAAGTGTCCATAATATCCCCCAACCGGACCAGCGGAGCTCAGCTAAATGGTCACAGGTACCTCAAACACATCGACACCTACCCCCCCGCCTCCGCATACATATCCGCCTTCCTCACGCCCTCCGGAACAAGATTCCTGCTCCTCCACCAGCCGCCTCAGCTACCTTCCACGGGCACTGCGGGGTCGGGCTCGTCGCTGCTCGGCTCGTCCTTCTCCGTCGGTGGGGGGAGCTCCTCCCGTGCGTCGAGTAGCTCGATCGCGGCGAATCCGACGTCGCCGCAGACGGAGGAGGCCGTGCGGCAGTTCATGAATGAGGTGTATGAGAATTACGTCAAGACGGCCATGAGTCCGTTTTATCTGCAGGGGATGGAGATCCGGAGTCCTGTCTTTCGGGCAAGGGTTGTGGCTGCGGGGAAGAAGTGGTTGTGATTTCTTCGCGTCGCTGTTTTTGCGGTTCTTTTGGGTTCATGGGAAGGGAAAGCTTGATGCATTGACCGTCCTGAGCGTGGCGTTGGGGTGTGGCTTATTTTATTACTGACTACCTATGGAACTTGCATCGAAAGTGCATGGGTTCAACTCGTGTATTTATTTGATGCCCATTAATCTCTGCGTCGTGTACCAATGCAGAGTATCTGATCCTGTTGCTCTGTTTCTGGAAGTTTTGCTTGCATCGGCCACGGGGGCATTTGGCGTGCAATAATAAGCTCGCTAATGTTCAAAACATGGAGCAGGTCCTGCAAGATAAGCGGACGAAGATAGGTCTCCCAAACATATGAAAAAGGGAGGCTGAAAAGCAAGAAAAGATATGCCGCTGTCGCTGTTTCCCAAGGCCAAAAAAACGCCTCACCAAGATTGCTCTGACCCACTTCATACCGTCATTTGAGGGGCCAGCTTCTTCACAGTACTGTTTTTGAAATTGTCCACTGCATGGATCACGTCCTCCGCTTTGGCGACGGCACCAAAGATGCCGCCTTCCATCTTGACGGACTCGAGCGTGCTCACATGGAGGGACGGCTCGCTGGCAGCAGTGCAGTCCTCCAGGATGACGCAGTCGAAGCCTTTGTCATTAGCCTCCCGCATCGTCGTAGACACACAGACATCCGTGGTGACGCCTGCAATGATCAAATTCTTGATGCCTTTATTTCGAAGAAGGAGCTCAAAGTCGGTGTAAGAAAACGCACTTTTACCCGGCTTGTCGATGACCGGCTCCTCAGGCAGGGGATACAGTTCGTCGACGATGTCGTGTCCGACTTCACCGCGTATCAACAAACGCCCCAATGGCCCCTGGGAGCCAATTCCCATGCCGGATGCATTGTTCCGCGACCGAAACGCCTCTCTATTGGAGAGAGTTGAGAGATCTGGCCGATGACCTTTACCGTAGAACGAAAAGCAGACGTCAATCAGAAGCCCTCCGCCAGACCAAGGTGATCGGGGTATTACCTTCACGAGTGTAGTAAACAGGAAATCCAGCAGAACGGAATGCATTCAGTACCTGCTGCAGTTTGGGTATGAGACTCTGCGCAGCCGAGATGTCGTAACCTTGGTATTCCATGTAACCGCCAGGCGAACAAACTGCGATGATGGTCAGTGTAATGAGTCTTCAGATGCAAGCGCGAACAATATGACCATAATGAATACATACAGTCCTTCTGCATGTCGATAATGACTAAAGCAGTCGTATATGGTGTTAGAGTCGCATCATGCGGCCAGTCATAGGGAACCGCTGGAATCTGGCCCTTTCGGACCTTATGCTGCGGTACTGGTCGCGGCTTGTCGACAACAGGCCCATGGTTGTGAGTTGGGTTCAAGACTGTCAACGTCCAGATGCCAGGAGTACCAGCTGCTACCAGCATAAACGGACAGTCCATCAAACGAGACGTTCGTCGCCGCTTTCTCGTCTCCTCTGTGAGCCCGTTTCGGGGCCGATAGTGGCCACCCCGATCGCACCGGAGCCACACTTTGGCTGTCCGTCCGGGCTTCTTCTCAGTAGGAGTACTGGATGACTTGACCACAACATTGTATCCATGTGCTTTGCTGTGAGCTTGCACTGCTGCAAGGAGGGTAGCTCTTTACATGTAGGGAAGGATATGAGCAGCGGGTCCAAGCAATGTATCCAGAATTGAGTTGACAAAAGGGTGGCTGGGATCAATCACGCATACTTACTTATCAGGATACGTTCCTTCTGGAGGAGGCAAAAGCTGCATGGACATATCTGGGATATCTTGAAGATCGCTAGGCGCGTCGAGATTCAGATCGGTGGGGTCCGCCATCTCAACGAGTCGGGTGGATCTTCACGGGAAAGGGAAGATCTGGAGAGCGCCATATTAGCATCATTGGTGCATCGTGACCCAGCACCAAGCTCTGTATGGGAGAGGGAAACAGAGGGAAAACTCCATGGCCATCTCAGATCGACCGGAAAGGGAGCTGTTTATCGAAAACCCAGTGCGTGGAAGCAACACCCCCGGTCCTGGGAGTAGGATAATGTGCGTGGATATAACGCGACCTGGAACCACGATAGCTTGGAGACTAGGGCGAAGGTGAAAGAGTAAGGAGGGAAGAAGTACCCGCAAGAGTCCGATAGGAGGGAAAGCAAGCAGAGACTACTTACCGGGCCAAAATCAAGGAATATAACTGGGAAGTGGGAATCAAGCAATAATAACCTCCAGATCACTTTTCTTTTCGCCCCAGACTTCCACTGCCCAAGAGGCATGCCCCAGAGAAGTCACTGACCTTTGATCATCGGAATACGCACATCGCATCGCGGGCGGTGGAAATCGACCAGGACGACGAGACCGGCACTAGACTGCTACAGGGTTAGTGGGGTTTTTATGCTAGTCAATTACTGTATCTTACACCACCACAGTGACCATCAGGTACCTTCCATACCAAGCTTTGTACTCCAGTTAGGTTGTACCTACCTACTATTTGTACCTAACTGGTACCTACCGCCAACTACCGTACCGTCTCCGTACCTTAGACCACTACTATGAGCACCCAAAGTACCTTAGGTACTCTACCTTACCTTACCTATGCTACCTAGTGCTTAATCCAGTTGGTAAGGTTGTTTTGTTCCCGTGGACACGGCACTAGTACTACTATCTGTGTCTCTACGCCAATCCAGCTGGATAACATCACCATCACAATCCACATCACACTCCCCCCCCCAAACATCGCCCATGTTTCGACCAACCCCCTCTGTGAGGGTTCTGCAAAGGTAAGTTTGGATCTCTGGATCTTCAACTTCAGTGATTCTGCTTTTCTTTTTCTTTTTTGTCTCTTATCACTTTCGAGTCCCTGTTATAACCCCCGATCAACGGCGACACCGCCTCCGCGAGGGGTCCCTCCACCACCGGTTCACGCACGGTTGTTGATACCATTCGCGGCGTGCATGAACTCGGGTTCCGGCTGTTTCGTGGCGACACTCTCACCGTCTCTCAATTCACTTGCTGAAAGTGAGTCGTTACCCTTGTCCGTCTTCGGTCATACCATCCCCTGGTACCGGAATAATGCCATCGGCCGATGATTCCTCCTCTGCTCGCCTGAATGGTACCAGCTCCCGGTCGGATCAGCTTGCATGGTACAAGACGCAGTATGAGCAATTAGAGGCTGAGCTAGCCGACTTCCAGGCCTCCAGCCGTGAGCTGGAGGCCGAGCTGGAAAAGGATATCGAGGCGTCCGAGAAGCGAGAACGGTTGTTGAAGGAGAAGGTGGATAGCTTGAAATATGAGGTCGAGGAGTGGAAGGTCAGAGCGGAGTTTACTTTCATTGCTGCTGATGGACTGAGGGCTAATCTGTGACTTCGTCAACAGACCAAGTACAAGCAATCCAAGTCGGAGGGAAACTCGGCCCAGAACACGTTACAGAAAGAGATCACGACTTTGAGGGATGCAAACAGGACGCTCCAGCTGAAATTGCGAGACATTGAAGTCGCAAACGATGATTATGAACGTCAAGCCCGGCATACGACTTCATCCCTGGAGGATCTGGAGTCCAAGTACAACGTCGCCATCGAACGAGCAGTCTTGTTGGAAGAGGAAATGAGAAGCGGAGAGCAGGAGCGGGAAAACTTGCGCATCGAGAATCAACGTCTTCGAGACGAGCTCTCGGATCTGAAGATAGAAACGGAAATCATCCATGAAAAGCTCCGGCACGCGGAACTGCAAAACAGCCGACGCAGGAAGCCCATCTCCTTGCGCAGTCCATCAACGCCACAAACACCGGATCTCTTCAATCGTTCTCCCGCTTCATCGATAGTTTCCTCGCCTTTGTTCTCGACTCCTACCTTGAAAACCTCGCTCATGTCCGCCATTGCAACGCCTCCGTCGCCGCCGATATCCGAGTCGTCGAGCAGCCTGCGCAAGTCGATGAATGCGATGCCCGGATTTCCTCTTCAGAAGGCCTCTGCTTCCGACTCGTCATTTGGCACCCGGTCGCTGCATGGGTCCAGGACTCAGAAATATAACCATCCTCACTCCCGTGCAACCTCCTACGCCTTTACCAATAATCGCCCCACGCCGTCAGCTACGAACCGGCCCAGCTTGCCCAAGCCGAAGCCCAAGTCCAATGAAAACACCAACAAGAATAATAATGCTCGGTCGTCCGGGCTGCCCAAGTCGGGTTCACTGTATCAAATTCGTGGACTCATTGGCAAGATGCAGAAGCTCGAAGAGAGAGTCCAGTCTGCAAAATCCAAACTGCCACCCCCATCGGATTCACCGTCTCGTACGTCTTCTCGTTCCGCATCGATCATCGGCGAGAGTCCGGTTGCATCTACAATAACAGCCCGAAGGAACTCACGCAAACGGCTGAGCGGGAGTAGTTTGAGCTCGTCTATTCGAGACGGCGATAGTGTGCCTTCTTATGCTCCGCACAGTCGACCGTCCTTTGGTGCTAGGACGCAGGGGGATAGTCGTCCAAGCAGTCGCACCAGCTACTCGAGCCACAGCTCTGTCAGTCATAGCACACATCCGAGCGTGACTCCTTCAACACGCCCTGAGAGCCGCCAGAGTCGGACGAAGACGCCGCTGGGGCACTACTCGACGAACCCGACCACAGAGAGCCGCCGGCCCCGGTCATCGCTGAGCAACCCCTCCAATCAGAATGGAGTTGTCAATGGTATGGCCCATATTGACGAGGACGAGGATCTTGCCATGCATATGTCTTTACGGGCTAGGATCAGTGAGATCCGCGAGACTCGGCTGCCGGCCATCTCCACGCCGACTGGACTCAAGAAAAGAACCCCAAGCGGGATCTCTGGTATCCCCGCGCCTCGAACTTTGAGAACGAGCACTGGATTTGACCGGTGGGAAGGCGATATGGGGCCACCAGAGCAGAAATCCAAGTTCACCGATCTTGGAGAAACTTATTAAATTGAATCGCTCGAGTGCCGGCAACGGTCGAACGATGTACCCGTCGGTGCGCGCGAGTTGTTACACTTCAGAAGGTGTTCTCCGTTACCAGTCCGTTTCGCTTATCCTACATTTACATACATAATGTCCCCCAAGACCTTGAGTTTCGAAGGTCGGGTGCAGATTGGAGCATTGGCGTCACTTGGAAGCTTTCCGTTGGACACTGGAAGATTGATCATACATCAGGGATTACCTTTGTTTCGAGTGCCCTCTTCTCCACCAATACCCTCAGGGAAGGATAGTCACCGATTTGTACAGTTCGTCCGGGTGAATGGCGGAGTTAGGATCGCGTCTTACGGCGCATTTGTTTCATATGCTCGCAGAAGCCGTTGCAAAGCCCCGCACAGGCACTGCGGCGTCCAAGCTGTTTCTCAGCACCACTTTCCTTGGACATTTCGTTTCATGTTATTACTTATTGTTGCCTTTGGCGTTAGAGAATACCCAGCGACAGTTTGTTACGATCCTTTGGACCTTTCGTAGCAGATCCGGAACAGGAACATAACTGTCCAGATTCCCACGTGGAGAAATATGGACTTACTTGACTGTCAGGCGAAAGGTACCGTACGTCAGCGGGGACAACCAGACAACCAGACAACCTGGAGAGTAGGTACACTGTGCCTGGCGGAGTACCAAAGTATCCCATCAATCGATCAACTTAGATAATTTCTGTGATCAGTCGTCAGTCTCTCGACCCGGCCTGCCTTTTCCTTGTTTCTACTCCGTACGGCATTCTTCAATGCAACCTCGACATGAACCATGTTCGTATTCCCGGGAGTAAACACCAAATAACACCAAAAACCGAGATGCTTGGTGTAGCAAAACCCGACCCAGACCCGACTAAATGCTTGTCCTCGTATAAAAGGTACTCAAACCCGATCCCTGTAGTCTTAGAAACTAGAAACGTACCCGACTGGATACCTTAGGCATTGACTGGCAACTGGCAAGTCCAGCCATACCAGAAGGAGAAGGATAGCACAGACCCTCAGATTTGCTGAGGGCGATCCCTTCCCAAGGTCCCAACGCGGTTGGCAAATCTTTCTGTGCTGATTGGTTGTGAGGGGTGGATGTGGGGCGCCAACATATCTCGATGCGGTTAGGCGGGACATCAAGTATCTGGATGTTGCTGGATTCGGCGCTCGGGGACCGATTCGTACATTTAGTTTAGTTCGTCGATGGTCTAGGATGGGCCATTTCTAGGTAGTACTCGCACTCGCTGTTAAGAGATAGAAAGATATTGGAGGACTTGATATTAATGCAGGGCTTACTGTATTTCGCGATGATCAAGGCCATGGAGTATCTACAGAGTACGGAGGTCTACATACTCCGAGACCAGACAGAGTAAGGTAGTACTAGCATCTTTTATGTCCCGCTTATGTCTCGAATCCCGGCTGTCTGGCGCGGAGCGGGAGTCTACTGACTACTCACAAAGTAGTCTAGATCCGTACTTGGTGTAACTCTTCGGGTTGAATTGTTGATAACATCGTCATCATCATCGTGATCGTTTATATTATCGGGATCCTGGTTGGTTGGATCAGACTCAGGCAGGCTCACTACAGAGTGCCTAAGCCGAAATGGCTGAGATAAATGGATGTGCTGGATCTCTGTGGGGAATGGAATGGGATTATGGATGGCCATTGGCATTATTATTAGCCACCGACGCCAGGAATCTTCAGGAACCCGGTGGTAGATAGATTGCACGCTGCGACTGCGAGTTCTCGGCATTTGGGACTAGAACCTGACTTTGGATTCTGTAGAGGTCAAGAGAAACAGCTTCCGCCATGTGATGCGGGCTGGTCGTTGACTTGGCATTGAGATTGAGATCCATCAGTAGCTGGAGTGCTATGGACTGTATGAAGTACTCC